TACCTTCTCTCCACTCTTTATAACACAACTCAAGTTCTTGAGCACCGGTTTGTCTGATCCCTCGTAACACAAACTCATATCCTTGAGCTCTATCTGTCCCTTCTGTGGCCAATCGGGAGGGGGTTTATGGCTATCATGTGCTGTGAGGGCCGCCTCTTGTGGAAGTTTTGAGTACTCAATGATGCGCTCGACTGAAGTCATCTGACTCTCCATCTCTGCCGACTGTCGGGCTCCCCATTGAGTCATTCCCGTCAACATTAGGGCTGATAGGACATATAAAATAATTAATTTAATATAATATAATAAAGGTAAACCATTAGCATTAAGTTAAACCTGATGATAAAGCGAGTCCCGCCTCTCCCGCTCCCAACTGACCGGGAAATACCATAAACACCGCAAATATTATTACTGTATACACAAAACACAGTCCGTCTGTGATTAGGCCAAATGCACGACTGGCAGTAGTGGCGAGCATCCAAGTGGCCGACTGATCATCTTGGTATACGTAAAATTGTCTCTCAAACACTTTCTGTGCCCCAAATGCCCTAACACTGGCCAACCCATTGAAAGTAGTGCTCACGTGTGAAAACACTGGACTCCTGGCTATATGTTATGGTAAAATATTATTAATTTTGTTTACACAATCATTATTTCTGTTAAAACTTACTTAAACCATCAGCTCGTTTAATGTCTCTAGCTGATTTAATGTAAACAGATCTAGCTGCTATAAGCACTACAATTAAGATAAATGCTGGTATGATCAAGTATGGGTTGACGATTGTGATCATGATTATTCCGCCGACACCCTGAGTCATACTCTAAATAATGATGGAAGTATTAATTTAGAAACAGTTCATATAAAAATAAAACTTTTTATATAAAATAATAAATTACCAAATTTAAATCAAAAGATGTGCTTGGCAGCTGCTCATCGATTATACCAAGATCTTTCGTAAATCTATTTAATATCCGACCTATTGGTTATAAATTATAACTTATAATTACATATAGCGTTTTTTAATATATTTAAATAACAAACCAACTGGGTTGCTGTCGAACACAGATATCGGGGCCCGTAATAGACGGTAGAATATAGTGTTGTGGAGATTAACTGAAGCCCTCATAAACATCACAAACCATGTGATGGCTCTCAATAGGGATGCGATGAACAGCGCGGCCATCATTGAGGAGTAGATAATCACATCTCTGTTCTGATCAGAAGTGTTAATGTTATCTGTGTTTTGATTTTTGTCAGTCCTATTGTAGGAATAAATTCTTGATAGAAATAAAAATAGTTAATGGTTTTAATTTATTTACCATTCCGTTAGAAAATAATCCGACCAGTGATAAATAGCTTGAGCGATGATTGTAAATAAAAGCGTGGTAGAAAATAGTATTGACCCTGCACCTGCCTTAATAAATGTCCAATATACTTTTCCCGATATTGAACCCGTTTCCCGGCCCTCGTCAGCAATTTTTGGGTCGTTTTCTATCTCTTCATCCTTAATAACAATAGAAATATAAATGAGTTTATAAATAAAATAATTTAATTTTATGAATACATTTATCATCAAACTTTCAGCCAGAGAAGTGGTCCGGGATTTTGTTTTAATATCATAACTTGATTGGGAAAATGTTCGCTTTAAGTCCCTGTCTTCGGCCTTTGCCTTCTTGTCGGCCGCTTCCCTCTCCTGATCGCTGAGAATAGACATGAAGTCTAAGCCCCGGGACTGGAGCTCATCATAGGATCCCAATCCCAGACACTTTCCCTCGTCGTTCAAAACCAATATTTGTGTCGCTTTTCGTATGAATTGGATTTGATGTGTGACTAGAATACGGATTTTGTCGCACAAGTAGTCGACTATACATCTGGTGTTCATTATATNAGACTTATTTGTAATCATAATTATAACAATCATTGCATTACTTATCAAATATATGTTCGGCAACACTAGTGTCGACAGCACTCAACGGGTCGTCCATTAATACGATGTCTGAGTTTCGGTACAGAGCTCTACATAACATACAAATAATAACAATTAATATTAAAACTCAATTAAACAAATATTATAAATGATTAATTTATAGTTATTTTTTAATATTATATTTTTAAAATAAAATTTGATGTAATAAATAAATCAATTCATTTAGTAAAAATGTATAAATCAAACATAAATGCAGACTGTAAAGTTTTAATATTATAATTTTCCAATGTAAATTTAATTAAAATAAATGTCATTTTGGTTTACTTCAGCGTTACCGATATAATTTTTTAATAAATACCCGAATTAAATAAATATCACAATCTTAAATACTGATGTGATTAAAATACTGTCATCTAATGTTATTTAATTAAATTTATATTGCAATTTATAATTCATAAATGCAAAATTAACATTAATTTTTCTTTAAAGTAAATATTTGAAAATTTATATTAGAATATATAAAGTTGTTATTTTAAATATCTTATGATCTGTAATATTATATTAATTTCACCAAAGAATATGGATTATTTAATATAACCAATTTTAAGGGGTATATAAACACCAAAGACATTAGTTTGTGTTTTTTATTTAAGAAAAACCACAAACATTTATATTTATACAAAGAGCTCTAAATAACACAAATTATAGCAGTTATTACTAAAATCATTTAAGCAAATATTTTAAATGATTAATTTATAGTTATTTAAAATTAACATTATATTTTAAAATATAAAATTTGATCTAATAAATTAATCAATTCATTTAGTAAAAATGCATAAATAAATAATAAATTCAGACTGTAATGTTTTATCCTTAGAATTTTAAAATATAAATTAAATTAAAATAAATGTTATTTTGGTTTTTAAAAAGTACTTGATATAATTTTATAATTTAAATGAAATTGAATGAATTAAATTTAAATAAAAATCACAATCTAAAATACTGATGTGACTATAATACTGTCATTCTACGGCTAGATGTCCAAAAAGGTAGGCTTTGCCTATATGCTCCCATAGACAATACATTGGGATTTCAATCTTTTTTCAATCTTTTGGACACTATGTTCTACGGTATAATAATAATAACAAAATGAACATTAATTTATCTTTAAAGTAAATGTATTTTAAAATTTATGTTATAAAATATAAATTCCTTAAAATATGTAACATTATATTAATATTACCAAATATATTGATTGTTTAATATAACCAATTTTAAGGGTCATATGAGCACCAAAGACATTGGTTAGTGTTTTAAATTTAAGAAAAACCACTAAAACATTTATATTTATAAAACATAAAGTGAATATATTAATATTTTTAATCAAGTGTCTAATAAGGTACATGCAGTTTATAATGAATTGCACCCAAACCTGGCTAACGTGATGCGGGCCTTCTGTCCCCCCGATAGCGATACCCCTCTCTCACCGACTAATGTCTTGTCTCCGAAAGGAAATATCTCAAAGTCTCGCTCCAAAGCGCACACCTCTACCACTCGCTTATATCGAGATTCGTTATATTCGGCCCCAAAAAGTATATTATTTCGGACACTATTATTGAAATTCCAGGGCTCCTGAGAGGCATAGCTTATCGATCCCACCGTTTCTATACTCCCCGACAGCACCGGCAGCTCATTGAGGATTGTCATCAATAATGAGCTCTAAATATAAAATTAATAATTTGTATATTTTTATTTTAACAATAATCTAATTGTATGCATACCTTGCCGGCCCCCACGGGTCCGATCACAGCTAATAAGTCACCGGGTCTTAAATGAGCAGAAATATTTTGAAGCGTTGGATACGGGCTCTCCTATAAATTATTTATTCTATTACAAGATACCAATAACTCGGCTCCAAAAGTGATTGCAAGTGGGAAGAACCAGGTCATATTGACTCTCACGTAATTAAATAGCATCATTGACACAAATACAGCCTTAGCGGTCAGTACATCACCAGTGAGTACCAAGGTGATAAAACTGGTAAATAAGATCAACTTTGTTGCCATACTATACAACGACATATTGATTGCTTTAAGAAAGCAAGACTTCTGTATACACGAAACCTCCTGCCTAATTGTATTGGAAATTATGGTATATAATTAATTTGCAAATTATATAAATTATGGTCATTTACTTTCGTGCTTCGGACACGAGGTCTGCGAAGGGCTGTTCCCAGGAATACATTTTAATGACTCGCATACCGGATATAATCTCAACCATATGCCGGAGCCGATTGTCAGTGAGCTTAGCGGTCATTAATCTGGATAATTAATTAAATAAATTAAAACCATACATGTGCTATAGCAACGATAATATAATAATGTCATTTACATACCTAACTTTTGAAAACATTTTGCCCATGAACAATTGAAACACAATAAGCAAAATTATTATACCAACTGGCACCAAACTTGCCCATCCCATATATGTGTACATTATATATATTGTAATGGCTGTTTGAATGGGCGATATTATAAAATAACTGGCGAATAGTGCAAACTAAAATCAAATAATTATCATGTTATTTATGTAAATTAGTTTAATTGTAGTATTTATACAGTATACCTCATCAAATCGATTTGCATCGTTGGACATTAAGTTTATCATCTGACCCACAGTAGTCTTACCCATTGATAGCCGGTTCAGTTTGAGTGACTAATTTAACATATTATAACTTAATTATATTTAAATAAATAATTAATTAAATTTAAGTAAACTAACCTTTTTATACATTAGTGTACAGCACGCGTTACGGGCGCGCATTCCCAGTTGCATAAAACGTGTCAAGGTGGTATGAAAAAACATAATGTATAGTATGGTGCATAGACACACACCCCCGGCCGCCATACAAGCATGGTCATATGTTATTAGGTCAGCGCCAGCAAAATAATCAATCACATATCCGAGTAGGATAGGCTGTGCCATACGGACTACACACTCCTATAATGAATAAATTTAAATAAAACTTTACCAATATAGTACAATAACATACATTTCAATTATAATATAATTCGAAATTCTATATTTATTTCATAAATAACTTACGATAAATAAAAGCAACATGAATGGTAAAATATGATATTTGGTAAACGTTTTGAACAATGCCAAATATAATCTTGGTGATTTTTTCTTTAGTTCAACTTCCCAATTTCTACATAGATAGACATAGACATTAAATAAAATAATCATGATTATGCTACTTGGAAATGAAATGGGTAAATAATTTGCATACTTTTCCAAACATTCAACCAAATACTTGGAGGAGTCGTATTGTGAACACCGGGACATGTCTTCAAAATCTAAACGATCCTTTCGCATACCCTTCACAAATAGTGGATATATCCACCTGTCGTTTACAAAATTAGCACGAATAAATATATATTAATAATTCATTATAAATAAAAAATATTCTATATATCTATTATAACTAAGGCATTAATTACGAATGGAATATTTACTCACGAAAATATTAGTTTTTGAATACAGTTTGAATTGTCCCATGGTGACTTTCTCGTGATTTTAGCATCAACATCCATAATTTGCTTATAATAACACTTGTTAAAAAATGTATTATATAAATTACTACAAATCGTTGCCGTTTATATAGCTTATGAAAATTTACTTGCACAATTTTATTGCTACAATTATTTGTTTTATTACAAATTCGTATGGATTTCGTCTAAATTGATAAGAAAACAATTAAAATGGTACTAAACAAAACCATTGACATCGTTTTAATTTTAATTGTACTTTATGATTCGGGTAGCAATAATAATTTATCACAGGTACTTATAAACTGTAATATAAAAAATAATAAAACTTTTAGCAATATAAATTCAACTATTTATTTATCTAACGGTCGATATCTATCAGGCGTGGTTATTTTTGGTTTGAATTAGATTATACGGTACTAAATTTAATATATTTTAATTGTAATAATTTTGTTTTACCAATGCATTAACATATTTAATTACCCTGTTTGATTTGGTGTATATGAACCATGTGTATCTGCTATATCACTAATTTATCACGGGTATTCTGTAACATGTTGGCAGCGTTTTTAAATCATTGGTATTACTACGATGTACAGTACGTGATGTCATATATAAATTTTAAATTGTAAAACAATAACAGTGCTATCAATTGAGTGATTATGTTTAAATAAAACAATTAAGTTTATATTACACTATAATAGCAATGTGTGTGTAATAATTTATGATTTAATTAAATCCATAATCAACTTATGGAATTTTTATTAATAAAACATAAAACAATATAACAAAACGTATAAAAATGCATTATATTGGAAATTTTTAAGTTTAAAAAATTATAAAGTTAACATTTATATTAATTTAAATTTTAAATATTTATACTAGCTCTAATTACAAATGTAAAAACTATGTAAAACATTAAATTTATGAAAAAATATCATTGATATAAAATGCATTAAATAAAAAATATGAAACAAATTCTATCACGATTCTAGTGTATCCACATATTTAATCAATACTTTCCCAACAACACCAAACATGATTTGTATTTAGTATCGGGGTAGAACACACTTAGCGTACTCTTTAACTTTAATCAGGGTTGTCTACCCCGTCTAACAGTGTCAGATAAAATATGGTCTCATTTTAAGCATAGTTTCAAAATTTGTTCTGGTAATTTGGCACTAATTTTTTTACATACTCACCCAAATGCTATTAAATATATAAAATTTAAATATAAAAAACATAAATGTTAATTAAATTGAACTCATTAATGATTTTTGTTCAAAAAATGCACATATGCCGAGGCCATGAAGGGTAATCAGAGGTATGCTATTCGGTACAAGAGATATTAAAGTCAATGATAGCAAAGTTTCATGAAAATTAAATGAATATTCTTGTTGCAACAAACTGTAAAAATATATTCAAGAAATGTTATTAATATTTTTAAAAAATTAATATTAATTTAATGGGACAAAATTGTCAGAACTTTATTTTAACTTCAGACTCAGGAACCATATTTCTCTATAGACGTAATGTTAAAATAATATCGAATTTCTTCCAGATAACTTGAACGACAATTTCTATGATTTAATCAAGTGATTTTAATATATTTATTTATAAACAACAAATAGACATATGAAACTTAATTTTTCATTTTACAGCGTTGATCTAGCTCATTTTGTTTTGGAGATATTCAAATAAAAGAGCAAGACGACATATTTATATGACGGGATAAATAATTTCAAATGCCAAATGGTAGCTAAATATACTAATTAAAGCCAATGAAAATATATTGACATTAATTTCTGGTTTTGTATTCTGTATAGAACTGATTTAAATTATAAAATTTTTATGATATTTATTATATATGCTAAAAATATATACAAGTCTATTGTGTATCGGTGCTTGATTAACCTGATTATAATATACACACTATATTTAAAAATAGTGATTGCGATTGAAATTCATACCATAAATTAAAATGACAATATAATACTGAATGAAATAAAATTTTATTTTACATTGTATCAAATATACGATACAAATAGCTTAAAATAAAGCATCATTGTTTATTTACAACTTGGGTAAACCGGCAGATATGCGGCCCTCAATACCGCCCTCATTATGTCCCCGACGGATCTTGAAGTAACCCTTATCTCCCCAGTCGGCGTTCCACGAGTTGGCCACCAGCCAGTAGTCCACACCCGACTCCACACCCCATCCCAGGATCTTCACGGCGTGTCCGCCTTCCATCTTACCGGTCACGTGATGGTAGACACCGGACTTGTAGGTCAGAAAATCGGTGTAGACCTATATATATATAATAGTAATAATTCACTAATTATGTTCAAGCTTATTAAACAAAAAATATTAACATGATAAAAACGAATAGCAATTGATCGCAACGTACGCTAAATCCGGCCACAACTGGTCCGTGTTTCTGGATGTCCTGTTGGATCTCCTGCACCGATCGGACACTGTATGCTTTGCTACCAAAGTGTTTGTCCGACTCGTAGGTGCCGTTATAGCCGGCCACGCATTTCTCCTGACACTTGGGTGTGGGCACTGTTGCCGAACAGGCGGGCAGAGGGCCCGACACGTGGTGCTCGCAGCCGGGAATGGTGTAGGGCTGACAGCCCACGTTGGACTTGTACAGACCGCCGGTCACGACGCCGTCGCTCACGTAGTACTCGTAGGCCTCCTCCATGAAACCGCCGTTACAGCCGCCGGCGCCGCTGCAGTCGTTGATATTCTCGGCCGAGATCTCCACCTGTTGTTTGCCGCCCGACGCCACGCATATGCGATCGCTGATAGCCTCGGCCACGGCGAACGCCCAGCACGAACCTATGCAGGTTGAATACATGGGTAATTATAGATGTATTAAATGGTATAGCACATATAACATTCATATTCAAGAATGTACAAAAGCGATATTTCTGCTGTATGGCTAGTAATGTATGTATTATATGGGTAAACACTGTGACACACTTACCGCACGAGGCCTGGTCTCTGATCTCTTTGATGGACTTGCAATCGGGCCACTGTTGACGCGAGTCAAACGATTCGGGTAAAGCCAGCGATGGGTCGAAAGCGGGCGCTTCGCCGGCAACGTATGACGGATTGCGGGGTAAGAGACCCAAATTGGGGCCAACGGTGTCCAGGTATCGGCTGTCAAAGTTTTTGGTTGCCTATTGTGTTTTGCCGACATATATATTGGTTTAGTATAACTTATTTTGTAAATTAATAAAAGTTTTATGCTATTTGGTTACCTTCCAAGTTGTGTCCAAACTGTTAATATAGTCTACCATATCATCCATGCTTTTAAAGCCATGGGGCGATGGGTAAGACACGGCTACGCACGCGGCCAACAACGCTACCAGCATTAATTTGCCCATTGTTTGAGCTTGGTGAGATGTGGAGTAGTAAGTAAGTACACTTTAACTAGTGTTAAAAATTGTTTACGTGCATGATGTTTATATACCTATTCAAAACTCTCCGTGGGGTAAGTTCTTGTCAACCATATCTGTTTATTTGTGTGAACTTATCAATTAACAATAATGCTGCATGATAAAATATAGTGAGAAGTTATGTTAATTTTAATTACAAATTACAATTAATATTTAATTGTTATACATATTTGTATAAATATTAATAAATCCATTGCATTTTATTTTTGCATAAAACAAATTTTGTTTATAAAACTGTGTAAATAAACAGTTTTCATTATTTTTTAGCAATATACTTTATTAAAATAATAAACAATTGTATAGCAATTTCTTTGAATAGTTAGAAAAAAGTAGATAAATTGACATTTAACTAGATAAAACACTCCAGGTGGCATGTGAAAAATATATTATTTTTGATACCTATAATCTGATCAATGTCATTTATTATTTGTTTTGTCAAACATAAATGTGCTTTATAAGTTATAACTTATAGACATCGATGTTTAGTATATTTGTAGGTAAACTAATGATAATAAAATTTCATTGCCACAAAGTAATTGACAGAGTGTTACTCTTAACCTTTGCATCTAAAACATATGATTAACTATAAATATATCGGTATTAAAACGGGCTAAAAATTATTTGTAAAGTGATGATAATAATAATTAAGATAATTTTGTCGAGCCTAAAATGTGTTAAAGTCCATACCTTGTCACGTCATTACAAATAAATAATAAATAATTTATATTAATGTAATTAAATAAATACACTTTGTAAAATATATTTGATTAGTTTGAGTGGTTTAATTCAAGTAACAAAATATTATTATATTTAGACAACATTATATTTCAAATATAAATTATAAATTATTATTTCAAACAAATATTATTTCTTTAACAATTTACACTTTGGGCAAACCGGCAACTATTTGCTGCTCAAATCCGCACTCATTATGACCACGGGCAATTTTGAAAAAGCCTTCATCTCCCCAATCGGGGTTCCATGAGTTGGCCACCAGCCAGTAGTCCACACCCGACTCCACACCCCATCCAATAATCTTCACGGCGTGACGACCGGAATGACCACCGGTCAGGTGCTTATAAACACCGGACTTGTAAGTTGGAAAATCTTCATAAACCTATTATGGTTAAATAATAATTTGTGTTAATCATATACATGCCATTCATATCATTATCACTGACGGTAAAACTGGCGACAACGGGGCCATTCTTCATGATATCCTGCTGTAACTCCTCATTCCTATTACTGAAACTATAGGCACGGCTACCGAAGTGTAGGTCCGACTGGTAGGTGCCGTTATAGCCGGCGACACACTTGTGCTGACATTTAGGGGTCGGGTCGTCCTCTTTAGGGCAAGGGGGCAGATGTCCGGTCACGTGATGTTCGCAGCCCTTTAGGCTGTAGGGTTGACAGCCGACGTGGCTCTGGTACAGACCGCCCGACACAATACCGTCGGATATGTAGTACTGATAGGCGCCGGCGGAAGAGCCGCCGAACGGGCAATCGCCGGCCCCACTGCAGGCCAGTATATGCTCGGCCGAGATCTCCACCTGTTGTTTGCCGCCCGACGCCACGCATATGCGGTCACTCATGGCCTCCGCGG